TCATCACTTTAAACGACTTGATAGGAGTTTTGTAGGAATTCTTGAAGGTCTTGATTCCTTGGTGGTAAGTACAAATTGGTTTTAAGAAGACATGAGGGACATGTCTAGATATTATCTCATTGCAAATCCAAAGCCGGATTTATTTATGCAAATCTATGTAGGGGTCACGTCTATGTGATAAACTTGAGGACAAGGTTCTCCTAAGTGAAGATGATTGATGTGGAGCAAAATTAATTTATCTTGAGATAATCTTTTTTGATGATTTTAATTATTATTGCTATGTAATTTGAAAGGATTCTAGGCTTTTAATTGAGGATTATCATAATCTTTAGATTTTATTTTTTATTTTATTGACTTTCTATGTTAGCATAATTTGAAAGGATTCTAGGCTTTTAATCGAGGATTATCATAATCTTTAGATTTTATTTTTTATTTTATTGACTTTTTATGTTAGGATCATTAGGGTTTTTAGATTTTCTATTATGTGGGAGTTACTGAAAATTGATTAAACAATTGATCGACGGATCGATCGGGATAAAAAGAGCTAGTATGATAACTTATATAAGTAACGACCAACTAACTTAGAATGAATACAAATAGAGAGAGATGTGTAGTGACTTATATAAGCAACGAACAACCAACTCGAATAGGATAAATTCAAGTAGTGGGAGGCATGAGAGAAAGAATAGGTAGTGCAAGGAAAACGTAAGTCGAGCGACGACAAGTGGATGGTTAAAGACTAATAGAATGAAACCTTAAATATTGTATGTTGTGTGAGTATGAGAGTTTCGAAAGAGAGTTAGTATGATTTTTTTACTAGATATCGAAAGTTAGAATTCTCTCACAATGATACAAGGTTAATATTTATAGTGAATTAAAGATGGTCATTGATCGTCAAAATCATACCATGTCATCCATATTTAAATAGTCGATTTAAATTGAAGAAAATTGAATTTTTTTTAAAATTAAACTACTTCAATTTACTAGTAAAAAGTAAGAAAAGTAATAATTAAGTTTTTTTTAACGGATCTTGCTCCTTCACACGGTAGATCCATCATCATTTAATCCATTTACCGTGTAGATTGAATTCATGTTAAAATCAAGAAAAATAACTTGAATTAATGCATGGTAAAATTGAATATATATATATATATATATATAGACACGAGCATTTGAATAGATGGATTTTTGAAAAATAAAATTTGAAATATTATCAAGTGTTTTGCTATAAGTATAATTATATTTCGTCTTAAAGATTTTTGAAAATTAATAAAATTCGTTATCACGCTATCCATGGCGTCACCATCATTGGTGTTGACCAACATTAGTTGTTGGAGAAAAGATGCAAACTCATAGCTTCACAATGCTACCTTTCAAATGTGGAGGCAATACCAAGGCAAGAGCACTTCGTGGGCTGTTAGTCTTGGAATAGTGAACAGACAAAAGTCACTTAAAGAATTGGCCAATTTCTAATACATATCCCCAGAAGGAACGAGGACCAGCAGTCCCAAATAGCAATGGCAGTAGGTTTTTTTTTAATCAGATTTCGGATATTTGTGTAATTAGATATATTATTCATTGAATTTCAAATATTCATCCAGATATTCATTATTCAAATATTATTTATTATTCAATATAAAATAAAAAAATAATATATGTTTTTGATATATATACACGTATTCATATATTATTTATTACTCAATCGAAAAAATAATTTATTTATAAAAAGCCCTACATGTTCAGATTGGTTCAGAAGATTAAATTACCATCCCTAATCACCGAGTGCCATTTCTTGCCATCATTTATCACTGGTCATCCATTTCGCGAGGAGAGAGCCACTGAATTTCCGAATGTGGGCCTCCTACGCTGCCCTGAACAGCCATCGAAACCCCAGGTGGCTGTAGCCCTGATTTTGCGTGTTGAGATTGAATACCATAGGCGGAGAGCAAGGAGCAGATCGAACAGGGTTTCGATCTTCTTGATAGTACTAATATTAGTTGGCCGAGTAAGTATCTTAGAACTTAAGTTATGGTTACATTACTAAAAATCAAATTCACTTACAGGAGATTGATGGAAAATCATTTGATTTCTAACTCGAGATTTTTAAATCTTTTATTAATAATAATAATTATTCTTTTGTATTAATAATGAGTTAAAACATGAAAACATTCAGGTATTATATTAATTTGTATACTATATCCTTGTACTATTATTTTAGCTTCTTATGTTATTTTATTATATTTTCATAACTTATTATGTTATTTAGTTAAGTAACACACTAACCAACCATGAATATATTGGACATATGACATTCAATTAGGTTCTCACGTATCAAGATATGAATTTCATTTTTTTCCCTTTTTCTTTTTACAGTCATATTAAAAAAAAACACAAGATTATTCTAATTTAACCAATTTTTTTTTAATACTTTTTTGTTAGACGATAAAAGAAAAAAAATCAAATTCAAATTTTGACACGTGACGATCTGATTGAATGTCATGCGTTCAACACTAATTATTATTAGTGTGCTGCTTAATCACTTAATCGTAACACATAATAATCTAAAAAAAAATAACAGAACGAAGTGAATTAAATTGATATAGTATACTTTACCTCTATTAATAATTTTCTAATAATTTTCAAGTGACTTCTACTGGTTATAATATTTATGTGATGTAAACGCAATATTTCATGGATAACCCAACTACCATTTGGTTTTTGTAAAAAAAAAAAAAAAAAAAATGGTTAATCCCGCCTGCATGAGTTTGATTTTCCAATTTAAAACCCATATTAATGCCACAGAACCAAAAATATAATCCTTGTGGGCACATTTTACCAATTTTACAGAAGTAATTATAGCAGTCTCGCACATGCTGTCGGTTTGCAGATAGAATTCTTAACCATGGTGGTCCAATTAAACGCCATCATGGTGTGGCCCGTCAGCCTAACGGGGGAGGATTCAATTAATTTAGTGGAAAGAGATCACATCAATTTAACAAAATTAGATTAGCTCCCAGATCCTATTACCTTTTGTCTTCTTGGGGGGAATTTCTTGCCAATTATATAAAGATTTCAACATTCAGATTGGGACCAAACTTGATTTGATGAAAGGGTCACCACTCACCAGCAGTGTGTACAGAAGTTGCTTTCAGGGGTCACAGTTGTGTGACTTGACACCGTGTAGCTATTTCTCCTTCTTAGGCCACCACCACCACCACGGCCAGACAGTTGCAGCCAAGTGGAGCGAATTAGGTCGTTAGGGTTATATAGCTACTGCCAACTCATTACCTAGGGTCAAGAAATAGAACCCTACTTGTTGTAGTGGAGTCCAGGAAATTTGAAGCTCGCATTCAAACTGGAGATAACACTTCCAAACCATCCAGTTTAATGGCTAAGTTTCATCTACCTATAGCTGCTGCATTGATGGTAAAAAGAAGAAGAAGAAAAAAAAAAAACCATTCAAATGGAGGTTGTGAGTGAGTATAAAGAAAAAAGAAAAAAAAGAATATTTTTTAATTTTGGTGATTGTATATACGATACCCTCGTCTATTCAATATCTAACTTTCGATTCCCGAACAATTTTTGATGGTTTTATTTACCAACATTATTCTCAATGCCAAACAAGTCGCAAGTTTCATCATCGAGCAATTTTTCGGTGATGCATTTTGGGTTGTTTGCCATTTATCGGATAGATTTTAGTGATGACCATGAATCAAGTATAAGCATAAAACTTATGCCTGTTTTATTCAACATTATAAATATTCATTAAAAATATTTAATAACTATTAAAATAAATAAATATAAAATAAATATAAATCTATTAATTTATTTTGATTTTTTAACATGAAAAGATTTAATTACATTAAATTTAAAAATTAAAAACAAAAATATTTTTTTTTCAAAAACTTTATAGACCAAATGAACTTATAAATAAATAACCCAAATGTAAAAAAATAAATAAATTTTAAAAACCAAAAAAACTTTTCTAAAAAAATTACAGGAACTAAATAAATTCTTGACTAATTATTTTAGCTAAACTATGTGAACTGAAAATAGACCAAATAAAGATCTATATAATAATTTTTTAATGAATCGTATACTCAGTCCATTTGCAATCCCTAAATTGGCTTTTTACAAACTCCTGATTTCCTAATTTATCTCCTAATCAACTTTAACCCAAAAAAAAAAAAAAGATTATTTGTTAATTGCCAAAATGATTTACCAATTAATAGGATTGGAGGTTTTTTATTTATTGGGAGGGGGTGGCTCGAAGGAGAAAAACCGTTGAACGAAAATGAAGAAAGAGTGTAATTTTTTCAAACGTATCCCAGCAAGCTGCAAAAAAATACTCCACACGAAAACATTATAATAAGTAATGATATCTAAGAAGAAAAAAGGTTGAACCTTGTCTAGCCCTGGTTAGACAGAACTCGCAAAGATGTAACTAGAAACATGGACTTTGGATCTCCCATATCTTTCTCCCATTCCATCAGAATCCTCTCACTCATAAGCAACAAAGTGTCAAATCCTCTACACTATCAAGGCCACCACTTGCAACCAAACTTGCACATAACATCCTACCATGACCAAAAGTAAACAACCAAAGAAGAAAACAAAGACAGAGCAACACTTTCTTGTATTAACATGACCTAAGATAATGATGGTCATAACACTTGCTATAAACAATGTCATGTCTCTCCACATCATTGAAAAGAGAATAAAAAGAGAGAGAGAGAGAACGAAGAAGAAAACATAATGTTTTTGTTTTTCTCCATATGTAAAGAAAAAAGAAAACGATAAACCCACACAGAAAGAACACCAACAGAAATAGCCATATTATCTTGTCCTATAGAGGGTGCTAGGGTTTGAGGACAATGAATTCATTGTCCACTCCTTCACCACTTTTACTTTTACTTGCCATAATAAATATCCGACGACATACCACAATAAAAACACCATCACCAAAAGGAAAGAGAAGATCGAAAAAGAAAAGAAAAGCACTATTGGAAACTAGAACCTGGAGTGTAAATAGCAAGATCAGGCCACCCATTACTATTTCCCCACTCCCCACTTTGCAAATAACTCTCGCCCCCACCACCACCATTATTATGATTAGTAGTAGTATTGTTACTGCTTCCTTGCAAATCCAAAACTGGGTCTGTACTTGAACCCGCATTTAAATCCTCACCAAACCCACCCATTCGGACCATTTTCAAGCCCGACTCATTTGAATTCAACCCTTCAAAAATGCTCCCAAACTGCCCACTTGATGCCAATAGCGAGCTGAAGCTCCCTCCCATATCCAGTATCTTCCTGTCCTGATCCGGCTCCACCCCATATATCCGGGTCCGATCCGGATTCTCATTACCAGCCAGCTGCTGTCCCGACGTCCCTGTGGTGGCTGATGAGGTCGTTGATGAGGAGGAGTCCGCAACCCGGCGGGTTGCCTTAGCGGGGTCGGAATTGGGATCCGGGTTGGAGCGTTTGGTGGCGCTAGAGGAGCGTTTAGTGTTCTTGCGGCTGCCACCACCGACAGGGATGTTTCTTAAAGCGCCACCTTTGGTCCAGTATCGCTTGCAGTTCTTGCAGAAATGACGGGGCTGAGAGAGGTTGTAGTTGTTGTAGTAGCAGAACTTGGTGTTGGAGGAATCACAGCGGGGGCACTTGAGTTGCTCTTGCTCTGGAAACTGAGGCTTTATTGCTTGGAATGCTGTTGATGGATCTTGCATATCTTGTTGTTCTCTGTTTTTTAGACCGAATTGGATGATCAAGGGAGTTGGGTTTCTGTTTTCTGATTTCTGAGGATTTGTGAATTAGAGGTTGGTTTGGTCTGGCTAGTTTCTAATAATACGAACCAGAAAAGATTAGTTTTTTTTTTTTTTTTTTTTAAGGATAATTATGTGGGATTTGGAGAGTTATTTGGCTCTATTTGGTAAAGAAAAATGGAGTGAAAAGACTGGAAATTTGAGGTCTTTGATTAGAGATTGACTGATCTTCAAAGTGTGAGTTTTTGATGATTTTTATGTCCAATGGATTTGGCTTTGTTGGGAGTTGGGTTGTGACTAAAATGGTTTGTGGGAATTAATGAGCTGATGATAGTGGGAGTTGTAATGGACTTTGAACATAAGAGAAGCAAAAGGTTTTTCAGAAACAAGCAGTCATGGGATTTGATGAAAGAGAAAAGGAGAGAGAGCAAAACCAGAAGATGGAGTTTCAAACCATAAAACAAAACTATCGAAGTAGAAAACCAACATACATATATAGGAAAAAGAAGAAGCTCAGCGTTTCTTCAGGAAGAAGAGATGATTAAGGAAATTCAACAGTAGGACTGTAGAAAAGAAGAGAAGAGAAGAGGATATTTGTGTCTGAAAAATCTTAGAAGAAGGTGATCTATCTGTTTGTTTTGTGTTTCCGCGTGAGAATGACATCTAAAGACTTGGAAGAGAGAAAACTGCTGCTTTCTTCGCCTCTTCTTCTTCTTCTTTTTATTTATTTATTCTCCAACAACAGTTCAACTCCAAAGTGGATTTTGGTTTGGCTAGGCTTCACTCACTGGACACTACTGATCAGGTCACTGCTCGATAATATTTTTAATAAAAAAGAAACTGAGTTTTCGGTTTTATAAAATATAATAATTAATCCTTATTATGCTAATGGTTTTGGAGGCCCGGCCTACTCTCCAGGCCGCTAATGTCAATTCCATCCAAATGATGGAAAGCTCTACCAACCTGATTTTTTAGAAACAACACCATGTCTGCCAAATAAAAACAAGAAAAATCATTTCCTGAAAGAAAGGAGAAAAATAAAATAAAATAAATGCATATATATATATATATATATATATATATGTTTTCGTAAAAAAAAAAAAAAGAGGATTGAAAAATATTAAATTAATAAGAATTCATCCCTCCATAAATATTTTAAAAAACACTTTCAAAAAGCAGTCTCAATTATTTTTAGACAGCCTTGCTCCATTGGAAATGTATCACAATTTGTAAAAATTTTATTTAGATATATACAAACAGCTATGGAGATACTAAAAAAAAAGAAAAAAAAATGATGATAAATTTCTCGAACCCTAGCTTTGACATCCCAAACGTGTTTGAAACAAGTAGTTGAAGAATTGGTTTAATCCTGAGAAGGATTGATAAAGAACCCAAATTAAACAACCAACTAAAGTAATCTAGGTGAGTTGACTTCTGTCTCCCACAGCTAAATAAATTAATTTGTGTTGGATTAGGTCTAGAAACGAATGAGCAACCAGAAAATAAGTACTCCATGAACTAATAAAATACACTGAAACATTCTCATGCAATTATACACTCCATCTAGTTCGAGTATTTAACTGGTCCAAAACGGAATAGAAGCAAATTCCTCTTTTTATATTCATATTTTGTCTCCTACGACGAAGATCTTTTTGTTAATATTTTTTTATTTTGTCTTAGTTAGAATTCTCTCTTTTTTATTTCATGTACAGACGACAACCTCCTCTTTTTACTATGAGAATTCTCTGTTGACTAAGACATGGTAGTTTAAAGAAGACAAATTTGAATCCTTGAAACCCCCTTCTTTGCAGCAGTGTTCGTAAACTTTATTACTCGTACCAACTTTCAACACGGAATTAGCTATTTCATACTATGAAAAGAAATATATATATATATATAGTATTTTTTTACTCATCTTGTTTATATATTAATTAAATTTATATGATGTGTATCAATTTCTTTAATTTTGTTTTACTATTTTATCTAACGTATTATGAATAGTTTCATCTAACACTCTTAAATTTTAGTAAATTGAATCTCGTAATAGAAAAAAAAAAGCACTAGCAAAATATCATTCATAATTTGATATTAAAAAAATAAGTTTTATTGACGAAAAGAGTGAGCTTGCAATAAATTGATTTTATTTTGTATAAAAAGGAAGAGATAATGTAATTATTTTTGGGTTTTAGCAATAACCATAATACTAATTAGATTTCACATATCAAACAAGGTTTTTTTTTTTCGAATTTTAATTAGACCATCATTCATATATATATATATATATATATATATATATATATATATCATTTAGGATTTAAATAACTTTATCTAATAACATGGGCAGGAAAATCTTGAGCCAAGTATATACATACTTTTTACCTCAATCTCATTTGATCAATTAAGTAACCGAAATAGGCTTTGGAGTATGGAATTAAGAACCCATAAGTTTTTAGTTCAACCATACCCATATAATATTCTAGTGAAAATTGAGATAATCTTTTTTTTTTTTTTTTTTTGTATTTTATATCACATGGAACACCACAACTATGGCATATTATTTTTCTTAAACATGAAAATTTTAAAAATGTAGGGAAAAAAAAAAACTGTTACCAGTTTAGACGGCTGCTGGAGCGACGGTCAGGTGCTGCTGATTAGTCATTAAATGATTCCATTAAGACACAATGTGTGATTAAGCCGCGCAAAAGCTGTGAGCCGAAGCCAAGCCAGCTAAAAATCCCTGCGTGCAAATAAAGCAATTAACCCAAGTAGGGGCATCATTTAGATTCCAAGAGCAGCTCATGAGCGTCCATTTTTCAAAGTGCTCAAATCAGCACCGTCCACTAGTCAAATCGAATTATGAACATGGCGTTTAGATGCCGTCTCCAACGAGCCAATGTCACCCGCAACACGTGGCAGAACCCCATGAGTGATATAAGCTATGAAGAGGTATGTTAAATTGTTAGAGTTTCAGGCAGGAGTATGGAACAGTCTGGGAAAGTTAAGTGTTATAACTACACGTAGGTAGGATCCCTTAGCCTCTGGTTTTGTATTTTATTGGACCGTCTTCTTTGCTTCATTGTCTTAATTTTGCCTGTGGACTTTTCAGTTATACACACGTGTAATATATTGCACGAATTTATTATTTATACCATGAGTAAATTATAAATTAGTCCTTTTAGTTTTACAAAAAGAACTGAATAGACTATTTAGTTTTAAAAACTAATTAATTTTCGTTCATTTCTTGTTCTTTTTCAATTGATTTTGTTTTTTGTTTTAAAAATAACAATATAGAAAGATTGATTAGGAAAAAAAATTAAATTAATATGGTCAGCAATAATTAATGAACTGATCATTTACTTTTTGAAACTAAAGGATTACTTAATTAGTTTTGTAAGACTAAAAAGATTAATTTATAATTTACTCATTTTCTCATCTACTATGGAAAGAAAAAGGGGGTTGGGGGGGGGGGGGTTATGGTTTTAGTTGTGACTGCTATAATTAAAAAAAAAATCAGTAACATGTGAAGTTATTTTATAGTTTCTGATTTTTTTTGCTTTAAAAAGGTTATCAAAACAGATTTCAAAATCTTACCAAATAATTTTTTTTCAATTTATTTAAATTTTAAAAAACCATATATATATATATATATATATATATATATATAGAGAGAGAGAGAGAGAGAGAGAGAGAGAGATATAGAGAGAGAGGGAGAGAGTGTGTGAAGGAACATTGGAGAAGCTCCAAGAGGTTTGAGATGGGGCTTAGGTCGGTTCTGCACACAAATTCAGTACTTTCATTATTTTAAAGAAATTGTTTTTTTTTTAAAAAAAAATTTCATACATATTAAAAAATCATTAATTGTTGTACCATATTAGTATTTTTTATTCATATTTTTATTTTTTAAATTATTAGTTATCGAAATAAATTTTAATTAGATATATTTCTTTTAAAGATATATCACTTAAAAATTTGATCTTATAAATATTTTAGAATTTATATAAATAAAATGATTAAAAAATTCTTTAGAACGGAAGAAATATTACCAAAGGGGTGGGACGTTTAGAGCTTTTCCGACTAAAAAAGCTCGGCAGACCACAGCACCCCCTCCCAAACAAGTTTTATATATGTAGTTTAATTAGGTTGAATGAGATGTAATTAGTTTCAATACATGCAATATTATCTTAAAATATTTTTTTTTAAATACTCTTCAAAAAAGGAGTTATTTTTCATTATTTATATGCAATATTAAAGAAAAAAATTTCTTGTAAAATAAAAATATTATTTTAAATTTATTGTATTTGAATAATGATAATAAGATGAGAAAAGTTTTGGTGTTGGTGGTAATGTTAATGATTACCATAGTTGTATTTACAGTAACGATTGTGATAATATTTGTGGCAATAATTGTGATAATATTTGTGGCAATAATAGTGATCATTTATAAAGCGGTGGTTATTGAGGTTGTAATTTGTTTTTTATTTGTAGTAAATTAATGCTATTTCAAAACTATTGTAGGAGCAAAGCACTTTCTAATTCATTACTTCTTTTATTTTTCAATCGCATTGGCAAGTTAGCAATTTCTTTTTTATTTATAGTAAATTGAGACTTGAAAGTTGTTCAAAATACATAATTTTTTTTTCTCCAACTATATAATAACTTTATAAAGGTTTCAATTTTTTTTTATTAAATTTCATAGATAGAATGATAAGAAAAGTGCTTCCAATTTACGAGGTTAAGAGTTTGGAAAAAAAGGTAAAGGTAGGTTTAAATTTTCAACTTAAGCATACGAAAATGTACCACATAATGAAAGCAATTAGTAAAAGAAGAATCAATCGAGAGTTTCTACTTTCTAGCAGTAGAGTAGGGTGGAGTCCTGGCCTGGTGATGGAGTGAGTAGTGGTTTGAGTAATTAAGAAGAGCACGAGAAGGCATGATGGCTTGTGGGTCAAGGAATATGAAACTCATACTATATATATATAATGGCGGGTCCAACTCCAAGACAGTGTATTATTATGAATACAGAAATGTGGGAGCTAACCCCTGGCCTGGCACCAAGATGATATGAATGTCCAGTCTTTGTCTTTGAAGCGTGCAACACGGCTCAGATCGCATGCCTCTCAGGCTTTCATAACTAATCTATCTCCGGATTCATCGCCTCTATATTCTCTTCTCTTCTATATCTCTCTCTGGTTTCTGCCTTCCATGGCCATGGCTAGCTGGCCACTGTCAATTCCACAACTGTGCCTTACTACTAAACATGCTAATATGCAATGACACAGCCCTCCCTCTCGTTGCTTAAATATACCTTCCATCTTGTGTCCATTTTTTAAAACCAGATTATTAGGCAATTAGTACTGTTTTTCTCTTCTCTTCTAGTCTCTCATTTTCTTTTTCGTCTTAGAATATATATGTAACACATGTTGAACGTCATTAGGGGTTTGAAATGTACTAACTTGACTGCGGAAAGATCTAATCTTTATTATCTTCAACATTCAATTTGCAAGATTTAATGCATCTCTTCAGCAGTAATTGTGGTTATAAATGCAAGTTTAATGGGCGAGTTCAAATTAATTAAGGCATAATAGGGATTCCACATAACACAAATCCTCTATGAAGTGACAATTTGATTATGAAAATATCGTAAATGTGAAAGTCATAAGACCCGTGTGTTCTCTTCTATATCTCTCTCTGGCTTTTGCCTTCCATGGTCATATAATATGCAATGACGTAGCCCTCCCTCTCGTTGCTTAAATACCTTCCATCTTGGCATTACCTCAATGTGTCCATTTTTTAAAACCAGATTATTAGGCAGTTAGTGCTATTTTCCTTCTCTCTCATCTTCTCCCATTTTCTTTTTCTTTCTAGAATTTATAACACATACTGAACGTCGTTAGGGGTTTGAAATGTACTAATTTGACTGCGAAAAGCCCTAATCTTTATTATCTTCAGCATTCAATTTGCAAGATTTAATGCATCTCTTCAGCAATAATTGTGGTTATAAATGGGAGTTTAATGGGCGAGTTCAAATTAATTAAGGCATGATAGAGATTCCACATAACCCAAGTCCTCTATGAAGTGACAATTTGATTATGAAAATATCATAAATTAACGTGATGCAACTGTTAGGCTTTGTAAATTAATTGCATATCTTTGAATCTTTCGATAATTAATGGCATCACATCAAATTCAAGTTTCGTTGCCACATGCTATCAAAGTTCTAATTGTCCAAAGGGTTGAAAATTGAGGAGAGTCATGAAAAGTAGATGCTGCTGCTGCTCGTTATTATCTTCAACAAGAGTTGACTTCTTTTGCAACCATCAATTTTGTTTCAATTATTCCATTTTAAAATGCTGCAATTGTGTCTGAACAAGTCGGCAAATTAATAGTCTATATGAGGAAAAAAAATAGTCAAATTTTACTTTATGTTTGCAAAATTTAGTTAATTCAATTCAATTGGACTAAATTGCATTGAATTATATGATGACAGTCAACTATAACTTTAAAAAAATGTTTAAGAAATAAAAAAGTTATTTTGTTCACAACAACATTGAAAATGTTTCAGGAATAAAAAAGATTAATATTTCCCCAAAATTTTGAAGTTTTTTTTTAAATAAATAAAATCCAAAAATTTGAAAGATAATTTTTAAATGTCCAGATATTAATAGTTTTGAAACTAATTGCAAATTATATTTTGCCAAACCAAGTTTTTATTTAAATTATTATTATTATTTGTTTTTAAAATTTTCAAAAATGATTTATGGCTGAGCATTTTCAATTTTTTTTAAATTTTAATAGGCAATTTATTTTGCATCTTTTTTATTTAATAAACACTTACTGCATTTTAGGTATTTTCAAAATATTAAGAAATTGGTTGAGTAATTTAGAAAATTTTCTATCTAAGCAGTTTGAACTTTGTTTTCCTTAAAAATCTTCAAATTTTTTTTTAAAAATTCCTTTTTTTAAAATTATTAAAATTTTAATGAATGGGAATTGTTGGAATTATTTTTGTTTCTCAAAATTTTTGAAACACTTTTCTTCTTTGAAATATTAATTTTTTATTCCTACAAGTATTTTTTAACATTTTTATATTTATGAAAATATTAATATATTTTTTTATTCCTGAATCATTTTGGTAGATTATAATACATAGTCATCTTAAAATGTAGTCCTGGACTAAATTTTACAGACAAGGTAAAATTTGACTGAATCTTTTTCCAACGACTTATTTCATGAAAGGATATAAACGAAGGACCCATTTTGAGAGTTTTTCCTATTCCATTTCTTCATTTAAAATACTCTACAAATAACTATCAATACTTATTCATCCATCAGTTAATCATAATATTTTTTAAAAAAATACTCGAGCAATTTATTGCATCGAACGTCTTGATGATGGTGAAAAATCGAAGGTTACATCCAGTTTTGGAATATGGATACTGATGAAAGCAAAGACCAGTCACACTTGAAGATTGCAAGATGCATGAAGGCTGCATTTCAAAATTGACAAAAGAAAAACAAAAAAAGATAGCAGAGATTCAATGCAAACTTTATAATTGCTATTTCAAGTCAAAAAGGACAGAAGGAGAGAACCACAAAAAACCAAAATGCTTGTGGCATATCCTGAACATCCTCCCAACTAAATCGTATGAAGTGGCAAATGGCAATTCAGGTCAGTAGTTTACTTAGTGATCCTACAGACAAAAGAATCAGTAACCCAAAAGGAAGAAAAGAGAGAACTACTATGATCTTAGGACCACAGGATATAAGTTTCAAGCATGATAAAGAATCGATAAAAAAATGCATTGAGAGTTTCAACAGCTCCTTCCCACCAAGATCTGTGTAAAAACTACATTCACCTTGGACCTAGTGGCAAATACTGAACATCCTTTACGTTTTGCTGTAGAAGAGCTACAATCACATTATCTTATGACTTCAACCCGACACAACTTAGACATAATTGCATCTTCTATTTTAGAAGATATGGGGATGGGGGAAGAATTTTGGGGTTGGAAGAGGGAAGAAATATGAGATCTAGCTGGGCCCCTGGAGAATGAGAACAAGTTGCTTCCTCGTGGATTCTGCAATAGCCTTTTTCAGGTCCATGATATAATATAGCAAGTGCGGCCGATTGAAGGGCATTTGAAATGCAAAAATCGTTGTAGCCTCCACCTAACTCATCGGTGGGAATGGAAAAGAAATCTTCTCCAACAGCAACCCAAAAAGTTCACCAAGCAAAAGATCATCTTTATGCATAGTACATGTACAAGCTGTTTGCAGCGGCACAGGCAATGGAATTTTCAGTTGGATGCCACGCTAGGTGCAGCAACTTTGTGGTGAAATCAAAAGAAGTTCCATTTGCATCAACTCCTGGGGCTTCTGCTCCTGTTGGTGATTGTTCTCCAGATTAATATAATAAAAACAAGCAGTTAAGATGATAAAAGACCATGGAAGAGGGGTGCAATGTAGGAAGGAAGAAAGAAGAAGCGAAGTGAAGGCACTGACCCCGTCTTACAACACGTGTTATGCTGCTTAGTGATCTCGACGGCCTTGAAGGGGTCTGGACTTGTCTCCTAATATTGTAATTCAAGATTTATAAGCTATCCCACATTAACTATCCAAATCATTAGTTTCAATCTCATTGATATATCAAAAAACAGAAACTACCTCATTGGATTTTTGCTGGCTTCTAAAGTTGTTGCCTCAGTACCTCCCGGGGCACAACCAAACACTCGAAACAGATTGCTGGGGACATGAGAAAAAATAAAATATAATCGCATGGAGAGATGACTTTAATCTCAAAAATACAGTGAACAGATGTAAGAAAATGTAAAAACCACAGACCTGTAGGAGCCTGTTGCAACTCGCAATCCATCACCACTCAAACAACACTCGAATTTATCAAAGATGGAATCGTTTTCATATAAATCACACAACTGGGTAAATTTAAAAAAATATATATAATAATTAGAATGGCCAAACAAAGAAAATTTTCAGGTTCAGTTTTGTCGACAGAAAGGAATCTCACCTTTGGTCTTAAATATTCATGAACTTGGAATGTTGCAACTGGACCTGAATCCATATTGATATCCCACAACTATAATAAAGAAAATAGACAACTGAGAATAAAGAAACTAAAATTCCTACTTAACTTCAAAAGGACATGCAGAATAACTTCTTTAGATGTCATGAAAACAAATTCATCCAATCTGAAAACTAGATTGTAGTTTCTCAAAACATAAGGACAAAGCTGAACCAGAAGCAATAGAAAATAAATGCCACCACGTTTCTTTATTTTTGAGATATTATCCAGTTTCTTGAAAAATCTTCTCAAGAATATAGAAACGTATACAAAACTGTTTTTACCAGCGAAATGTTTTCTTGGAAAACTTAGTTTCCAACTTCACCAATTTTAGAAAATTCAGTTTTTCCACTTTTATTCTCATTCTCATACTCCAATCGGCAAATATACTTTACCAAACATTTTACAGGTATGAAAAAAAAAAATCTCAGTTCAACAAGCAAATACATTTTTGGAACAGACGAATTAAAAAAAAAAAGAAAAAAAAAGGAGCAAATTAAGAAGTTTTGAAATAAACACGCCCTATAATGTGCTCATTAACTAAAGACATGCGAAATTAACAAGTTAGTATAAGGTAAGCCTAAAATTATTATTTGGCCAAAATGGCTTCAAGGTTCACAAGGTTTCAGTGTTCACCATCTTGCAAAAATGCTTAGTTACTTATCACAAAATTTCATAAAGTACTCATTTTCCTGAATCATCTATCTTTTTCATCATAGGATAGACTGAAAAACATGATCAAGTAAAAAGAAAAAACGGCTTTAGAATGCTCCAACATACAGTCTCCCAATTTTTTTTTTCCTTGATGACTAGTGCATTTGTTGGAATCATATTGTTTTGACATCCTATGGATTGTCGAGATGGATAATTCTTCTGCGCATAAAAGGTAAAACATAGCATGTTTAAGAGGCCAATTTTAAGCAATGACCGTTGACTCCTACAATATCTGTGTCCAAAAGACGTACAGCAAATTCAATGAAAAATATGAACCAAAACCTTTGCAATTATATAAGCCCAAACCTTTAGAGTCATGTAATCACGACTAAGTATATGTCTTCCATCCCTTGCAAATTTGATATCAGAGATTGAGGCAATTATTTCTGTAAAAAATGATCTAGAGCCAGGTGCCTCTGGTTCCTCAAACCTGTATGCAGAGGATGTTACTGTCGGCCTGTTCATGGTATTGAAACAAGACTTCCACAGAAGCCAGTCAAACACTTACAATTTGGCATGAGAGTCGCACAAAGCTGATTGTCGCAAATCAATGAGTCGGATTGAGCCTTTCGAACTGCTGTATGCTAACATATTACAATGGCTGGGATGGAATTCAGCTGATGTAATAACCTCTGCAAGGATGAGTGTACAGGTTGAGACGTCAAGTAGAGTATCGGTGATGCAGATGCTTAGCAGTTGAAACAATCAACTAATCAACCAAGAGACAGCATATAATGTCCAGTAACTAAACAGGGATTCATATGGGGAGGCCAAAAACAAAATTGCAAAAACAGTACCAAGTGAATTCCAAAAAGTGAAAAATCCAAAAAAGGAATTCTCAAAATATAATTTCAATAGCATTGATCACCCAAATTTACATCATTAATACAATCAGCACCAGTGACGAAGAGCCTTACCAGTTAGATCCTCCATATTTGCAGGTTTGACATCAACAATATTGAAACTTTGGTTGCTAATTTCCAAATTCCAAAGATTTATTCGTAGGTCATCAGCTGATATAAAAGTTTCACCATCACTGGAATATATGACATGAGGATAGGAGATTAGTGAAATTTCAATACAACTGTACCAATATCAGACAAGCTAGAAAAAACCAAGAGAGATGCTAGTTCAGTGACAATAATCTCTCATTTTGTGTTCCAGATAGAAGCAATGAACAAAACTAGCATGTCTAGAAACCATCAATATGCAACTTCTGGCACAACATAGCAAAAGAAAAAGCAAAGCACAAGCCAATACCAAGCGATTCGCATGCACAGTGCAAGTTTGTTCTTCAAAAAGGACATATTTAACACATGAAAAAGGTACAGGTAAAATCGAGAGAGAAAAAAAGGCCAGCCAGCATACATTCACTAAATATAAGCTCAAATGTCCAAACAATTTCATTTTCATTGGTAAAAGCATTCCAAATAAAAATATAGTACGACTAATCCAATAATTTTTTTTTTAAAGTTTCGTGGATGACAGGTAGTAGTGGTGGATATCCATCATCAACAAAGAAAAGGAAAAAGTGAAATGTACATATGTAGACAACGTATTGAAGTCTATTCATAGTCCAATAATGTACCCAAGAACTAAACAATAACAAAAACTTTCAAAGAAAACACTTACTAAAAACCAGACGCAAATAATAGCTCCAAACAACCATAAAAGAAAAGGAATGACCTGTTGTTTGAAATTGAATTAATATGATAATCATGTGCATGAGCATATACCCTTCGACATCTAGCCATCAAGCTTGTCTCATTGCTAGTCACCTAAGGGTCACATAAGAGTTAGATCCACATAAGATGATAAAAGCAATTCAGAAAACAAATTAACCTTATCAGAAAACAACTGTTTCCGTATAACAACACTACCCAACACCCACACCCACATTCCCCCTACTCCCTCCCTAAAAAGGGAAAATAAAAGACTTCCAGAATTAGATTCATGTCTCATATATTTAGTATAAAAAAATGACCAAAAAGCAAAAACAGAGAAAACAAGGGGAAACCAACTTCATCTAAAATTCATTCAGTAACCACATGGCATATGACGCTACACCAGTAACATAGAAAGCTTATATAATCAATTGAAAGCATTGTTCCTTGGACAAGGAGACCATTAAAATATGCACTATTTCATATGAGGTATAATCATGGTCAAGTGAAAAGTAGAGATAAGTGAAAATTCTTTCAGAGTGTTTAGTTGCTTTAGATTTCATTTGGTCTCTTATTCAGCTGTTATGTGATCCAATTGCTGGGATTTCCTTCGGGTTTTTTTAACTCTTGCATTGCGGATTTTGGTTATCATCGAATAACAGTCTGTTTCATGAGATGACAAGCTTTATCATATGGTCTGTTCTGCTGTGGTTGCCATCTTTCCATGTTAAAGTCTTAAGGCCTATTATTTCTTCCCCTCCTGTGATTTTTCATGGATGGCCCTTTCCTATATGGTACATTTGAATCGTGAGAAAAACAAGGCTTGACTTCCAAAAATACATTAGTAAATCAATTGAGGTTTTAAATTAGCGAAATTCTTTAGTTTAAAAGTTGCATTATGGGAACCAATCCATACAAAATTGTCCTTCCTGCTCTTTTAGATATTAGCATGTATACTTTGGAATTTTTTTAAAAGAAAAAGTGAAAACTGGAGATAGTTTTACTTATTTCAAAAACAAAACCAAATCACAAAAGAAAAAAGAAAAGAAAAGGAATGGTTTAAGAACAATTACCACAGGTAAACGCAGTGATGGAAAGCCCCCAGGTGGAATGCTCAAGTCATTGCTTGGTAAATCATACGACTTGTCTCCTCCATTTGCAAGACATTGTTTACCAATATTTGAATTACTTGAACTGGCAATGCCACCATTTCCTACAGCTTTTAAAGGGTCCATATTCATCTCAGAAATTTTCTTGACCTTCTTCTCTTGGACCTGTACAATTCTCATAAAGAAATATCAAAGAAACAAGACTTAGAAAGCAGCAATCATAAACCAAAAAATCAATAATAATATCACATGAAGCAGTCAGGACAAGGAATTGATATATGAGATATCCCACGATCGTCTCTTTTGATACACCTAGCCATTATGATTATAAGACCACGTTTGAGCACAGATGACTAAAATCCATCTTGCATTTATTCCTGATGACGGATGCTGCCCATTCAACCTCTCCAAAACACATTCTGACTAATTACAGGGCCAATAATATAGTCCAGTATCATGGTTTAAGTTGCAGTGTTTTTATAAAGCAGCAGATCAGTACCATCCTTTATGCACTTGACACATCAAGTAAGCAACATAGCATGCCATACTCAGTTTCATATACATACCTTAAAACTATACAAAGGCTCCTTTCATACAAGATTTATTGATTGAACAAATTCAAAGACAAACCAGAACTTAATTAAGAATTTTGATAAACAATGGCCTCGAAGCAGATCAACAAGAAACTGAATAGGTACTCTCTTATTTATGCCTTGTGTACAGAGGCATACTGGCCACTGGCCAAAACGCTCACTAACAAACTAGGTAGTTGAAAATGCTGTAATGAGATCGCAAGCAGACATGATATATGGCAATTACAAGGACTTTCCTCATACTTCAAGATAAGGTTCCTTTCCTACCTTCCAATACTTGATCGTTTTATCATTAGTAGATAGGAGAAAGAGAGCACCATTGGCTGCTTGGCACCATCTAATTTTGTTGATTTTCTCCTCTATTTCCAAACTCTTGAGATAGTCAAACTGACAAAAAGACAATATGAACACACAAGTGTGAATGCTCGAAGCGTAGTCAGCTAAAATGCATCTGAAATCAGACCAGGAATAAAAGAAAGAAAAGAATACCTCAGGTTCATGGCTTTGAAATTCTGTTTTATATCGAAACTCGGGATGCCTACTAATTGGGTAATCCATCCTCTCCAGATCCCTTCTGGATCCACCATGCTACAGATTACAGAACAGAATCATCATAATGATGCCACTAGTGTGACAATAAATCCACTAAGAAGAAGTATTTAGCAAAAATATATCCATATTGGATTTTACAACTGAGGCTAGAAAAGGAAGAAAGAGCACACATCCTTAGTGTCAGTCCTCTCAAAGAGCACCACACGGCCTCCACGGTCACCAGTAGCAAGATGATCACCACTTCTATCAAATTCAATAGCTGAAATGATATCAACTGCAGAAAGAAACACAAAACAAGGTTAATGAATTTTATCATATGTTCTGCCGTACAGTTGCTAAGAATATTGTTGTAGCACAAACGAAATATATGATCTTGTTACGAAAGATGCATGACAAACAAATAAATAATCACATAAACAAAGAACATTTATGGCATGAAAATAAGAATAAGAAAACCAAAACATCATTATCATTGGTTCCCAAACAAAGAAAGAAGCTACAGGCTCTCGATGAGCAGCACATCGGAAGAGTATCCAATAGGGACACCAACACAGTTCCTAGGACAGAATGCCCTTTGTAGTTACTGGAGGTACACTGTATGGCAAGCACTTGTTTGCACGAACAAAAGATAATCTAATAAACAGTTTAACTTTTTTTACCACATGGTGAAGAATCCTTTGCTAAAAGTCATTTGTTACGGCAACAGATTACCATACTCAAGATTCCACCACATCCAGTTGTACTTGTCAACCAAACAAGCAGACATTCTACTTCCCTGTGCACCAATTAAAAAAATCACCAGCAGAATAACAATCATATACTCAGTGTCATAACAGCAATGGCATGATTCTGCAACTCCATCCTTCTTGAACCAAAAGAAGACATCAAAGGTAAGTTTCTCGATAATCTCTCATCTGATGAAGCTATGCTAAAATCGACAGCAATCTTTTCCAAATGAAAGAAGGTAGCTTTAAAGATCACTCTGTGCTTGAATCCTCATAGAGATATTATAGGGATTTCTTTGAGGTAGAAGCACATACTTTCAGCAACAAATAGTCAACATAAGTCCATACTTCCATAGCCCTGAACAAGACTTTCTGTCCCTTGTTTAAATAATAAGAATATTCACTCCTATCTACCTAGAAATCCTATCTTCTATCATCAATCCTCAACAGGAGAAACTATCCAATGGAAACATTCCTTTCTCAAGGTCACTATTTACCAAACTACCTCAAATTCATAAACCTTGGAATCCGAAGTAGTCAGCTTTGTCACTTACTACTTTTCATTATATTTATTCTTACGGCTCCATCATCTCATCTGTAATGTAATAAGTTTTAGACATGCAACCTTCAGGGAAAATATTGCCCTCTTCAAAGCTACCAGTTCATGCAAAGATGGGGGTCAAGACTGTTCCAAATGTTATTTCCCAAAATCCTGCTTCAATGGATACATAACTGGATTGCTACTTCATTCCATCTTGATTTAAATAAATTCTTATAATCCCTCTTCCAGTTCACAGGTTTCATTTGACTTCAGCAATGATTGGGACAGAGGATCCCCGCAACTTGCCTCTTACCATACCCTCTCAAGCTTTAAAAAGTATATCCGTGTCCCTCTCTTCTGGAATGCCATCCATCTCACCATCCTCATTTTGGATCCACATCCAATAACTCTTTCCATTGTGATATCTCTTGACAAACTACCAATGACATGTTTTCTATGGGGTTTCTTTCTTGTAAGACTCCTCCATATCGGAGAAATTCTTTATTTTGATTTACACAAGTTTGGAAATGATGCAGAAAAATCCATTTAGTTAATTCTCAAATCTATATAAATCAAGCAACATCCAGAGACATCGACACAAAAATAAAACAAAAAATCTAAAGCTTTTTTCAGCTCTAAAGAAGTCTCTCCAAATCTCCATGTACGTTGTTCTAAAAACAACAAAACTTAGTTCTAGCACTGAACCTGCCCTACTCACATATATGCATATGTAAAATGTGTTCAACTATCCACCGAAAAAAAAAATTACTACCCACAGAAATGCAAAGAAATTGAAATACACTTCACTAAATCAAACATGCCAACCATTGGTTATACAATATCATTAAGATCCAAACTATAGCCGTCAAGTTTAAGGAATCCAAAACTTTAAGTAAAACATCCATTGCATGCGACATCATAAAAATATATTTAGAGAAAAAAAAAACAATTCTCCACTCACTTCACCAAGCTCACTAGAATACTGCTGCTGCTGCTACTCGATTAATTAATGTATATAAAAAATATATATGAATCACTAACTCTAGTTCAAATCACAAACAAAAATACTCACTGACCCACAGACCAAAACAAAATACCTGAACAACCCACGAACCATTTCGGATCCAAAACCCAAAAACCAACCCCAATTTGCAAAACCCACATAAAATATTAGGTGGATCCAAATGAATAACATATTACCTTCTTGTACTTCTTCACCAGCTGTTCGTTCACCGAAGACCTGAGAGAATTTCCACTCCAGAGGCTGTGGTGGAGTAGCCGGAGCTTCAGCGACTTCATCGCCACCATCCATTTTGTTTTGACGATCAGAAATCAAATGGCCCAGATTAACTCTCAAACTCAATTAAATCAACCAATCAGGGAGGGAACGAGCGAGTCAATTAAAAAAAAGATCGCATCTTTTCACTTAATATACGAAACCCACCAAAACCCATCCCCAACATTTTCATTTCTTAAATGAGAGAGAGATTTTTCTATTATTATTATTTTAATAATAATCCAACCATTGAAAAAGAGCTCTCTTTTCTTCTCTTCTGTTCTCTTCTCTCGTGTCAAGTAGTATTTGTTTTTGGTTTGGTCCTCTTTTTTTTCCTTTTTATTTCTCTATCTATATGAGAAAAATAAAATTTTACACACACACACTATCTCTCTCTACAAAAAGGAAAACCCAAAAACAAAAAATATACTGAAAAAATAAAAAAGGGCAAGAAAAGAGCTTGTTCGTGCTTCTAAAAGGAGAAAATGGGGATTTAGTGGTGTGTTTTTTTTGTATTTTTTTCTATTCTTTTAAAGTGGGGTATAAATTGACAAGAGATGAAAGGAGCATAACAAACAAAGAGTTTTTTTGGTTCTTTTACTTTGAAAGAGAAACTAAAGAAAATACACACAAACTCTCTCTCTCTCTCTCTCAAATAATAGTTCTTTGTTTTGGGAAAACTTCAAAAAAGTCTCCTAACTATGGATTTTATCTTGTTTAAGTTCCCAAATAATATATTTTCTGGATTTCTCCTAGGAATTCTCAATTAAGTTTTTCATCTGAACGCTTCACGAATTAACTAAGAAAATTATCTTTCCTACACAATAATGTAACTTTTTACAAAAAGAAAAAATAGCACTATTTTGACATGAGTATGAAGTGACTCGATTAAGAATTTTGAGACATATAGGACCTAAATGAGATAAACAATTGTTTGGAGGACTTAATTGAGACTTCTTTATAGTTGAGGGATTTTTCTTTTGTGGTTTGCTATGTCTTTTTCTTTACTCATTTAATAATCCTCGTTGTGGTGATCATGTGTCCGGGTAACCTATGTTTTGAATTTGACAGACGATTTTGATTGAGCGCTGATGCAGAGAGGTGTGATTTCATTGGTTGGTGACGTTTATTCTTGGGGATTTTTTTGTATCTTCTGGTTTGTGAGTGTTTTTCGTGCTTAGAGAGAGATCAATGCATAAGACGATTAAGAAAAGGATAATATAAACGCGATGCCAAAGTTTTCATAAAAATCTTGATGATTAAACAGAATTATTGATCTTTTGATTATTGAGAATATTGCATGCGTTTTATTGACTTTTTTAACTCACAGGAGGATGAAAATGACTTCTACAAAGAATGAAGTCAGTCCTTAAATAAGTCTTGAAAAACCTAATTTATGACTGTTGTATGTTTGGTTTGCGTGGACAAATCATATTTAAAGTGGGCCGGGCTACAAACCATTGGTTGGACCATGCTGTATTCTGTTCTACTTTGGACCTCTCATGTTCCAAATTTTCAGTCGGCCCAACTCCATCTCTATATATGTCCAATGGGCTTTTGGCCTTAATGGTGTTTTCATTTAGGGCCTTACACCCAATAGAGTAGAGGAAAAGACCAGGCCGAGACTGTTGCTCTCCTTTTGTTTTAATTGTTTTGAGCTTAGGTTTTATTCAAGCTTAAGTACTAGCATAGTATTCGTGCGCGAATAAGTCTATATAATATGTTTTATTTAGATGTGAAATAAAAATTAATTAACATTGAATGCGACAATTTATTTAATATAACATGTATTATGCTAATTGTGAGAATTTATTTAATTTAATAGATATTATGTAAATTTTAATAAAAAAATGTATATTCCATAATCGACTTTAAATATATCCTAGAAATATTTTTGATTTTGATAAATAAAAAAAGATAAAAGATAAAAGAAAACATGCAATTAATTTTTTATTTTTAAAAAAATCCAAATTAAAAGAATGTACTAAATCTATTTATATTAGAATAGTGTTTAATTTTAGTCAACGAGTCTAAAAAATAATACAAAAATAACCATTAATTTTTTAAAAAATATTTTAAATAATTAAAAAATCTAGATATAATATAAAAATTAATTAACACTAATTGTCAGAATTGATTTAATAAAATATATATATTCCATAACTGAGTATAAATATGTCATAGGAATATTTTTAATTTGATCAATAAAAAAAGAAAGAAAAAAGAAAGAGTGGTGCTACATGACACTAGTGGTGTAAAAAAAAAAGTCACCATAATTTTATAAGGGTGGTGTTTTTTTAGAGGAATACAAAGAATGATACTTTATTTCAATGATTATTATGCCATTTAATATTTTTACTTTTCAAATTTACCTCTAAACCCTTTCTATTTTTGAAAATTGTGTCTATCACTATGGTGTAGCCAAACATTTTCCAAAAAGAGAACATACAATTAATTATTTATTTAAAAAATGGCTAAGTCAATTTATATTAGAAGAGCATTTAATTTTGGTTAATGAGTCTATAAAAGAAAAAAAAAGTACCATTAGTTATAGGAAAAAATTAATTTTGAGTAAATAATAAATAATGAAAAAAGTAAAAGCAGAAAGAGAAAAAGGGAAAAAGGCTGGATTGGGCTCAGGCCATCTATATGGCCCTGAAGAAAACCTGACCCACTCGATTGGAAGCCCAACCTAACTAAAAAAATACAGAGAACTTTTTATGACAATAATTAAAGTTACAGGCTGTTTTGTATAACATGACAACCTGAAAGATCAAAGTGTGAAAAAAAGACAAATCGATAAAAAAATCACTTTTTTTTTTAGAAAACGATGTCGTTTCAAGCTAAAAAAAAAGGCTAAAAACGACCTAATTTTGATTCAAGCTTAATTACAATAAAACTATGTATCCTTTTAGATTATTTACAATTCTAAACTTTCAGTCAAAACAACACTGATATCTAACTTTTAATTTTTTTTCAATTTGAATATTAAATATTTTTTGGCGATTGAGTCTAGTTTTCTCACTGACCTATTTCCTCTAGTTTTCTCGTTGACCTAGTTCCAACGATATTTTTCGCATGCAAGAGTCACGTGAGAATAAAATGACAAAAAAAATTCAAACTCAAATTAAATATCTAAAATCCTTTATTTTTTTCCTTTTCCTCCCCTCTCTCCTCTATTGTTCCTTTTTTTTCTTTTTCCCCCTTTCTCTTTACGTTCTCCTCAATTTTTAGTTCTCTTCTCGTTCCCATGAATCTGTCTTCTTCTTTTTCTTTTTATCTCTTCCATTATTTCTCTTTCCTTTCTCCTCAATCTTTTGTCGCTTATCAAGAGAGACTCCATGATGGATCACTTGAAAAAACCCCCACTTCTTGCATGCATTGCCTATCTCCTCAATAAGGTCACCATCAAGTGCATGAGGGTTATCTAAGTTGGTGCTAGGGGAACTACAAATTAAGAAAAAAAAATCAATTAATGGCATTCCTTCTGTTTTGATGGCCTAATCAAGTTTTGGCCTGTGGTTAAGGTCTTGAATGAAGTCTGGATCAATCTCTTCCATGGTGATTTTTTTTTTTCAATTGTGATTAAAACTCTATGGTATAGTTTTATTTTTCGCGAGCATTAAAATGGTGGTGGGCCTAAAATCTTATGGTTCGAGAGTAGGTTTAATACAAAGTGAACCTAGAGAGACTTTGGTGTATTATTAGGAGAGGGGTTTACTGACTAGATGAAGACAAATAATGTGACGTTTGTGTTGGCATATATCTATGAAGACACATGTGTCGTTATTTTGTTAGACCATGTATAAAAAATATAATCCTAATTTGTTCAATAGAAAAGCTGAACTCTGGGTACCGGTCTATGTTTGACCTAAAGTTCATGGTTCTTTAAAGCCAATCAGTTTTTATTTTAACTATTGATGCAGGAGATTATTGACAATTGATTCGTCGGTAGACCAATCATAACGTTGAGAGATAATATTGTGGTTTGTAAAAAATAACGATTGAATAACTAATCGAATAAAATAAATGTAAGAGAGACATGAGAGAAAGAGCTAACAGTATTAATAAAACGTAATTCGATTGGGAAGTATGCGGGTGGTCAAATTATAATGGATGAATTTTTAGATATTATTTGGTATATGAATAAGAGAGATTTAAGAGAGTGTTTAGAAGTTTTACTAAGAATTAAGAAGTTAAAATCCTTTCACACTAAAGTGAGATTGATATTTATAATATATTAAAAGTGATTTTTGACTACTAAAATTATTGGACGTCATTTATATTTGAAAGATTATATTGATGTTGAGAAATTTTTTGGGCTAAATTATTTTAATTTATTAGTAAAATTAGCTAAAAAACATTAACAATTAAACTTTTTTTTAACAGACCTTGAGCCTATTAAGTTAATTTTTCTAATGCACTTCAATAATAAAGTAAACATTAATTCGATCAAATATCCGTATCTATCTTTGCACGGTCTAAAACCTTATAACTGAATGAATCCAATATATTCTTCACATAGTTTGAACTCATGCATGCCGAAATAAATAAATAAATAACATGAAGTAGGAGATAATATAATTAATTAATTTTTATGTACAAATGTAGCTTATACACTGTCCAAATTAAGTTTGGACTTCTTAGTCAAATAAATTTCTTTTTGACAGGTTATATGACCTAATATTGCAAGATTGCTACTAAAATTGTTAGATTCTTTACTTGTCGTCTGATCCCTTTCTAGTTATAGAAGTTGCATAACTCTTAAAAATAGGAGAGTTGAATGAACATACACAACATTTTTGAAACGAACAGTCTCAAGAGCCTCCATAACTAAACATGAGAATTAAAGGTAAGGCGAAAGTATGGGTGAAGAAGGCAAATTTAATGTGTACTGGCTTAGAGTATTTATAGTTCTATCAAGTCATAAGACCCAGAAAAAAAAATTCTATCAAGTTCTATACCCATTTCCATATTATGTAAGGCAAGAATGAGAGGATCTCAAAGTTATTGAGCTTTGAAAATTTTGCCTAACATGGCTGATTGATGTGCATCAAATAACAGAACCTGATTGATAAGTTATATAGAAACATCAATGGATACACATTATCGTGAGAATGTATAATTTTTTTTTCAAGAGATGATGCATTCTATCCTTCTTTATGGAACTAATTAAACCCCTTATAGTAATTAACTGGTGAAGAGATTTTGAACTTGACAGCACAATTAGGATTGATGTGGATTTTTTAATGTTGTTTAAATGGAAACAAAAAAATGTTAGTAAAATTTATTCCTGAATTCGAAATATATCAAAATAGTTAGATATCATTTTTGAAAATAAAAAACTGCTTGATCACACATATTTGGATAATTATCACTTTACTAAATCAAGAAAAAATATGATTATTATTATTTGAGTTCAATAGTTTGGATTTTTTGAACATACTCTATTACATTTCTCATCGTAATTAAGCAATCCAAAATGGCAAAACTGTGGCTACGAGCCTGATTATTTCGATAAATACATTTTTTTATAAATTTATTTCTTGATTACTTTAAATTTTGTACATGAATTGAGACTAAATCTCTTTTCGTACGATCTTAATACTATATTTGATAGTTAAAATTAAATTACATTCAAAAAATTTAAGTAGTACGATGGACGATTCTCTTATATATATATATATATATTCGGTAGGAAGGAAATAAGTCCTAGAGATTAGGGATGGCAATTTGCCTCATCCCGTATTTATTTTAAATAAGGATGCGGCAATGATGGTATTTTTCCCGTCTTGCCCCATTTACGTCGATCCATCGTTGAAATTATAATTATACCCTATATAAAGTGTGTGACTCGCTGATTTTTAGAGTTTATTTTTTATATGAACTATCATTTTTTTGTTATAGTTTGAAATTTGATAGTAGAATGGAATGAGACGAGACGAAAACAAAAAATTAAACGAATTATCGGCGCCCGCAGGATCCCCATCCCCGTTTGGGACAAGGATGATATGAGAAATGTTGCCCCGCACTGGGGCATGAGGCGAGGGACAGGGTAAAATCCCACCCCCGCCTTGCCCCGCCTCGCTGCAATTCCTACTCGGAGATTGATAAAGAAAAGGCAAAAATCCATAAAAAAAACTTTTGCATTCTGCTACTAGCATAGAAATGATGACATTACAAAAAAAACACTAAAAGAGGTGGTGTTTTCCTTATTCATAAATTGTTCTTCGACTCTTATTTTACTATGGATCAAGCTTTTTTTTTTTTTTTTTTTTTTTTGCTTTTTACGCTATAAATGACCTTTTCTTTTGCCCTTAATTACTTTCATCGTCACTCGGTAGATTTGTGAAAATCTATATTTACTCTTAATTGATTCTCTTTTTAATTTTCTTCCTTAGCCTTTTTCTCTCATTTGTCTCTCTATTTTTTTTTTTCCTTTGCATTATAAATGGCCTTCTCTTTTACCCGTAATTATTCTCATGACCATTTGATGGATTTGTAAAAATCCACTCTTGCCCTTAACTCGATTCTCTTTTTTATTTCTATTTTAGCCTTTTTTTTGTCATTTCCTTTTTTTTATTTTCTAATAGAGCATTTAATGCTTCGTGATTATTGTTTTTTTTTTTCCTTATTTTCGTTAGAGGAGAGGAGCTTCAAGAGTAAGTTATGAAAAAAATTCAATTAGTCCCTCTTTCTTAGGAAAACAAATTAATTAGTTCTTTTTGATTTAAAAAACTAATACTTTTGTCCTTCTGCTATTTTTCAATTTTTTTGACCTTTTGTTTTAAGAAATAGAAAAGGAATAAAAAATAGATAATAATATAAAAACAAAATTTGATTCATCGGAGGCCTAATGGACCTATTGAGCTATAGAATGGGGATAGCATTTCCCAGTACATAATCATCAAAGAAACTAGAGTTACCGGGACTCAAACCTTGCTTCACTAGAAAGCTAGTTAGGTACATAACCGCTATGCTAAGCTTTCTTATGTTATGAAAAATATTGATGAAATAATTTAGAAAACAAATTAGTTGTGGTAAGCACTAGTTAAAAAGATTAAATAATTATTTTTTGAAATCAAAAGGACTAATTTATTCATTTCTCAAAATAAGAGGAACTAATTTATAATTTATCTATCACTATATTCACATCAACTATTTTAAAATAGTACAAGTAATATATAATTTGCAATAGCAACAAGATTTTTGTAGCCAATAAATATATTTATAGTTGTTAATAATTTCATATTTTGTTGGATTGCAAACAAAATATACTTGTATATTAGCCAGGACTCAAGACTTATTTAATTTGCATTGTTGTTGTATGAGTGAAAAATTCTTAAACAAGTGTGCCCTCGATTGAACTGTAGAACGAACATCTATCTTGCATTGTAATTAATTATTGATAGTGCTTAGTTTAGAATTAATTTTTTATTTTTTATGGTGATTAAAAATTCAATACATTCTAATAATACAATTTTTTTCTTATGTTTTGTTAACTATTAATTATTAAAATTAATTATTGACTCGCCTAATTAATAATTAAGGATTGCAGAGTTCTATTAAATAAAACACTAAAAAAGAATGCTAATTAACAACACCTAATTGCATTGCTCATTATCACTCAATTCTACACTTTAATTTCACTCGTTTATTGATATTTTTGCATTTTAGTCTCTCATGTTTTTAGTAAAAAAAAATCTAGTCCCAAACTTTATTTATATTGCCATATGGTCCCCGAATGGTTATAGAAGAGAGAAGAGAGGAGAGAGAGAGAGAAGCTAGGGTCATTCTTGCCATATCGATCATCGATATGACTATTAATTTGTTCATCTTGAATAATAGAATCTGTTGATGGTAGTTACAAGCCATGAAATAGCTTGAGGAGATAGATCGTGATCCGAAAATAGTTTGAGTTTTTTAGTTTGATTTGAATTTTATATATTTTGCATGCATTAAAATGAATTTTGAGACTCTAATTTTTTTTTTAACATTACTTTTGTGATTTTAAATTGTTTTTGAAAAAAAAAAGGATTGAATTTGACTTTGGGGAATTTGAAAACAAAAATCATGATTTTTTGACCGATAAACATCATCATATAAATCACGGTGTTTTTTTTTAAACAAAATTTCCCGATAGGGTTTGATCCTCCACGCCCGGACGTGGGGCCTAGTTCTTAGCCATGCTTCTTCTTCTTGTTTTTTTTTTTTTTTAAAAAATTTTCTAAAGATTTTTAAGCCAATATTCTAGCATATTGAATGCTATTTTTTTTTCTTGCACAATCCGACGAAAAACAAACATATATGATATTTTTTTTATATATATTTTAGAGTAAACATATATTTTAGATTATATTATTTTTATTATTTAAAATTTATTTCTTCAATTTGACATTTCTTATAAAGATTTCCATCCAATTAATTTTTATTTTGATTAAATATTATTTATTGATAAATATGATTTATTATTCTCTATGTATGGATTTTTAAATAAAATTTTATAATGTGATTATTTTCTTTGAAAAATCAAACTTATATAATTTATATGATGGACTCTTATAATTTTTAAATGATGGTTGCATATATATAATATAAAAATTAAAAATATTTTTTAGAGAATTTGTATTACATTTTTTTGTAAAAATAATTTACAAAATAAAATTTCAGTTAAAAACTCATGGAGTTTTAGATTTTCTTTTTAGATTATTACAAGTTTTTGGTGAAGAATCAGATAAATAAGAATAAATCATTTTTTTTTGCATAAAAATTATGAAAAGTAAAATAAATAATCAGTCAAACGAAGAATTTTAATTAAAAAAATAAAATTGAATGGATTTCTTTATTTTTAAATCTACATTTTAATATATTTTGGTAAATTCATAGTGTAGCGCACGTCCTCAAACTGAAATTATTTTATATGTTCTCGTCTAATTCGTACCGTAGCATCGGTGAAAAAATAATATTTTTCTAAAAAATCTATGAACATAAACATTTATGATTTTTTATCATATGTCCTTTTGTGATTTTATAGACCAAAAAAAAAAAAAAAAACTTGAATCACAATACAAAAAATTAATCTTCTAAAACATGAAAAATAAAAACTTGAAATTCTAGAAATTTTTTTTGAAAAGTTCGAAAACCTTAAAGGATATAAAAACTTGAAATATCCTGAAAAAACTTAAAAACAAAAATAAAAAAGATATAAAACCAATGGAGATATTAAAAAATCCTTTTTTGGTTGGTATTTGCGTAGAGGCTTTATGGACACGGTGTTTTACTTTTTGTAGTTTATACAAAGTTAATTTTTACGTATATAACTATATATGGTTAAGTTCCTAAAACTTTTTGAAAAATTAGTTTTAGGTTTTTAAAATTATTATTGTTGTTGTTGTTGTTGTTATTGTTATTTTTTGTTGATGGTTATTATAGAGTTAGTTAACTTAGTTTCGTAAAGAAAATATGAAAGCATATAATTCTATAATCTACGATATTGAAAAAATATGAACTAGATAGATAATAAGTTAAGTGTGGTGAAGAGAATGTTTTTAAGTGAGATACTTACCTCTCATTAGAAAAGGGGGAAAAAAAGAGGCACTTTATAAGAAAACCTTTTGTAAAGATTTCTAATTGAAAAAATTTGGAGGGAACTCAAATTAGAGAAGAGAAACTAGTTGGTGAAACTATATATATATATATATATATATATAATCAAAAGATCAGCATTAGCCCTTAACAACTTAAAAAACAATATTTTTGATATTTTTACACAATTACGAACTGTGTTCTTTTACTTTCATCTCATTCGTAAAGGATATTCAACATACGGAAGTGAAACTTCTCTTTCATCACAAGAGTAAAAAATTTATAAAAAAATATATGGAAGAATCTTATCTATCACATAAAGGTTATGGATCTGTTATGCCACTTTCCCATCGCAAAGGAAAAAAAAATTAATAATATATATATAAGCGTTTTCTCATTTTCTTCACAAAATAAAATAATCAAATGCGTAATACTCTCCACAAAAAGAAAAGAAAACCAAAAAATTTAATGCATACACATATATCCTGCATTCATGGATCATGTAAACACCCAACATTTGAAAGAAAAAAAATGTAAACCAAATTAAAACGAAGAAGACGACTTTCAACACAAGTTTTATAGTATTAATTAAACTACAAGCACACCATATGAACGCTGGTGTCGTGCTAACTTTTCAAAGAAAAAAAGAGTTTAAGATTTACAATGGCTAAAAACGAAGCCCACCCTAAACAGGGCTTAACAGGATCGCCTGCAATGGGATTCACCTCTTTGAACTGCCGAGAACATCCAACAAAAGTCAGCTAAACAAACAAGCAACCCAACTCACGGCGGTGCCATCAGAAACACAATCGGGTCCCAAGCCGAACTCAAGACAAGCTGAGCCAAGTAAAGATAGAGAGCCGTTGGGTTCCTGTGGAATCCGCCTTCAGCCCAAACAAGCCAAGCCGAGAGACCCATCAAGAAACTTCGAAGTCGTGCAGGTCATGTGTAAGGCCCACAGAGGTGGGAAGCAGAAGGACATCGATAGGCTCCTAGTAGAAAGCACTAATAGAAAGCGAATCATAATTGCCATTCTCGTGAGCTTTCGACACAGATATAAATCAGCAATCAGCATCGGCTGGCACCGTACAAAAATATAGGGTTAGTCACGTTGGGCATCATGAATGTGTGACACATATTGTTAGACATCTGACAACAGTTTCATCTTTTAATCTGGATGGATCATTGTGTCTTTGATTCATTTATTGTCAACTTTTCATTTTCGAAACATCAGTTACTACGTTGGTGGTTACAAGCTATGAAAATAGCTTGAGGAGGTAGTTTTTTAATTTAATTTGAATTTTATATTTTACATGTATTAAAATATTATTTTTATGTGACTCTAATTTTTTTTTTTACATTATTTTTATGATTTTAAGTTATTTTTGAAAAAAAAAGATCGAATTTGACTTTGGAAAAATTGAAAACTAAAAATACGATTTTTCGACCAAATGAACATCATCATATAAATCACAGTGTTTTTTTTTAAAAAAAAAACTTTCTTGATAGGGTTTGCTCTTCTACGTCCAGGCATGGAGCCTAGTTCTTAGCTATGCTTCTTCTTTTTTTTCCAATTTTTTTCTAAAGATTTTTAAGCGAATATTCTAGAATATCAAATGTTTTTTTTTTCTTGCACAGTCTGAAGAAAAAACAAACATATATGATATATTTTTTTATATTTTAGAATAAACATATATTTTATATTATATTATTTTTATTATTTAAAATTTATTTCTTCAATTTGACATTTCTTATAAAGATTGTCATCCAATTAATTTTTATTTTGATTAAATATTATTTATTGATAAATATGATTTATTATTATCTATGTATGAATTTTTAAGTAAAATTTTATAATGTGATTATTTTCTTTGAAAAAACAAACTTATATAATTTATATGATGGACTCTTATAATTTTTAAATGATGGTTGCATATATATAATATAAAAATTAAAAATATTTTTCAGAGAATTTGTATTACATTTTTTTAAAATAATTTACAAAATAAAATTTCAGTTAAAAACCCATGGAGTTTTAGATTTTCTTTTTAGATTATTACAAGTTTTTAGTAAAGAATCGGATAAATAAGAATAAATCATTTTTTTTGCATAAAAATTATGAAAAGTAAAATAAATAATCAGTCAAACGAAGAATTTTAATTAAAAAAATAAAATTGAATGGATTTCTTTATTTTTAAATCTACATTTTAATATATTTTGGTAAATTCATAGTGTAGCGCACGTCCTCAAACTGAAATTATTTTATATGTTCTCGTCTAATTCGTACCGTAGCATCGGTGAAAAAATAATATTTTTCTAAAAAATCTATGAATATAAACATTTATGATTTTTTATCATATGTCCTTTTGTGATTTTATAGACCAAAAAAAAAAAAAAAACTTGAATCACAATACAAAAAATTAACCTTCTAAAACATGAAAAATAAAAACTTGAAATTCTAGAAATTTTTTTTGAAAAGTTCGAAAACCTTAAAGGATATAAAAACTTGAAATATCCTGAAAAAACTTAAAAACAAAAATAAAAAAGATATAAAACCAATGGAGATATTAAAAAATCCTTTTTTGGTTGGTATTTGCATAGAGGCTTTATGGACACAATGTTTTACTTTTTGTAGTTTATACAAAGTTAATTTTTACGTATATACCTATATATGGTTAAGTTTCTAAAACTTTTTGAAAAATTAATTTTAGGTTTTTAAAATTATTATTGTTGTTGTTGTTGTTATTGTTATTTTTTGTTGATGGTTATTATAGAGTTAGTTCATTTTGTTTCGTAAAGAAAATATGAGAGCATATAATTCTATAATCTAACATATTAAAAAAAACATGAACTAGATAGATAATAAGTTAAGTGTGGTGAAAATAATGTTTTTAAGTGAGGTGTTTATCCTTTATTAGAAAAGAAAAAAAAAAAGAGACACTTTATAAGAAAACTTTTTGTAAAGATTTTTAATTGAAAAAATTTGAAGGAGGGAACTCAAATTAAAAGAGAGAAACTAGTAGGTGAAATTATATAAATATAATCAAAAGATCAGCATTAGCACTTAACAACTTAAAAAACAATATTTTCGATATTTTTTGCACACAATTAACAACTGTGATCCTTTACTTTCATCTCATTCATAGAGGAGATTCAACATACGGAAGCGAAACTTCTCTTTCATCACAAGGGTAAAAAATTTATAAAAAAATATATGGAAGAATCTTATCTATCACATAAAGGTGATGGATCTGTTATGCCACTTTCCCATCGCAAAGGAAAAAAAAAAAAAACGAAGGGAATAGAAAATATAAGCGTTCTCTCATTTTCTTCACAAATTAAAATAATAAAATGCGTGATTCTCTCCACAAAAAGAAAAGAAAACCAAAAAATTTAATGCATACACATATATCCTGCATTCATGGATCATTTAAACACCCAACATTTAAAAAAAAAAAAAAAAACCAAATTAAAATGAAGAAGACGACTTTTAACAGAAGTTTTATAGCATGAATTAAACTACAAACACAGCATATGAACATTAGTGTCGTGCTAACTTTTCAAAGAAAAAGGAGTTTAAGATTTACAATGGCTAAAAGCGAAGCCCATGCCAAACAGGGCTTAACCAGATTGCCTGCAATGGGATTCAGCTCTTTGAACTGTCGAGAACATCCAACAACAGTTCCAAACGCAGCTAAACAAACAAGCAATCCAACCCACGGCGGTGCCATTTGAAACACAGTCGGGTCCCAAGCCGAAATCAAGACAAGCTGAGCCAAGTAAAGATAGAGAGCCGTTGGGTTCCCGTGGAATCCACCTTCAGCCCAAACGAGCCAAGCCGAGAGACCCATCAAGAAACTCGAAGTCATGCAGGTCATGTGTAAGGCCCACAGAGGAGGGAACCAGAAGGGCATTGATAGGCTCCTAGTAGAAAGCACTAATAGAAACTAGAAAGCGAATCATAATTGCCATTCTCGTGAGCTTTTGACACAGATATAAATCAGCAATCAGCATCAGCTGGCACTGTACAAAAATGTAGGGTTAGTCACGTTGGGCACCATGAATGTGTGACACATATTGTTAGACATCTGACAGCATTTTCTGTTTAAAACCATGTTTTATCCAGGATTTAAAGCAACTGGGTCAACCGGTTAGGTTCATCTTTTAATACGGATGGATCATTGTGTCTTTGATTCATTTATTGTCAACTTTTCATTTTCGAAGCATCTGTTACTACGTTGGCATGCAAACACTAAATTTTCCGTCGTTTGAAAACTAAGTTTAGGAGAGAGATTAAGGTTTAATTTATGTTTGCAGAATGAGTGTACCCATGAACTCATAAGAAAAAAATTCAATGAAAGCTTAAAGTAAAGATTATTTTACGATCCACTGAATCAGCAGCGCCATTTTTTTTCCCTAAAACAATTAACTGTGGGTTGTCTGTAAGTGCAATATTGTGGACTCATTCACGAACATGTATTTTCAAATACCAAGTCGGGGTGGCGGTGTCCATCTTTTGGCAGTCAAAATATATCCATATCATTTTTTAATAACCAGAAGAATGGGAAAAGCGCAAAAGACTCCTCTATTCAGGAATCTTGAGACCGATATGATGGTAATTAAAGAAAGGCGTGTTTTTTTCTTTCACTTATAGCCGGAATTCGAATCTCAAAAGTAATATTCAGAAGATTTTTTTATTAAAAAATATGAGAATGATATAAAAATTTCATCTTTGAAATCATTTGAAAAAAAATAATTTATTGACTAATACAAAAACATCCTTTGGCGTGAAATAAAAAAGATATGATATTTCACGAAAAGATACAATGAGTCCCCGGCCAGCGCCCTGTTGGAATTGTTTTAGATTGCAGATGACCAATAAGGAAAGAGACTAGAAACCGTGTATAATTTGGTCCACTTTCGCCAGCCTCTCTGTAACTCCCTAATTGGCCAACCTTCCACCGAGAATGGTCAATAGATGGATCTGCTAGCTAGGGCATGCATCTTCTGAAAAAGGAGGACGTGCATATTGTATGCATCTTCTGAAAAAGGAGGACGTATATATTGTTTGCATCTTCTGCAAAGTCAGGACGTATATATTGTATTCATCTTCTGAAAAAGTAGGGCGTATATATTGTATGCATCTTTCAAGAGTCAAGACCTACGTAAGATAGGTCCTCGAAAACGATGGAAAGCTGTACTTATACTCACCACTAATGAACCAAGCTACGCAATAGGCCAAGTGCTTGAAGTGGATATATCATAAATATTCTATAATTTTATAAGAATAATATAAAAAAATATATTTTATTTTAATAGGTATTATCTTATTTAATATTTTTATTTTTTAAATTTATCTCTAAATTTTTTTTATTTTTTAAAATGTTATCTATCGTGGTGTTATCGTCAAGCATTTTTCAAGTTTATAAACTACGGGTTGCCACAGACTTTCACAAACTGATTTCTTTTGCACAAATCATCAATCAAACTCGAACCCAATTAAGATCCGCTACTAATTTTGTTGGAACAGGCCAAGCTCTAATACTCGTGTGTTGTGCAAAACACACATAAATCAAGTAATTAATAGCACAAAATAAAAAGGGCAAAAATAAAGAGTAATAATAATGTGGTTAGGCAAAGACTACTTTATAAAACTTCACTATCAAATATTAATTACAAATTTTAATCGTTTAAATAAGTAATATTAAATTTAATTTTTAAATATGTAATTTTTTTTAAGTATATGTATCCGTCTCATTTACTTAACAGAACAACCACGAATTAGTAAAGTGTCAACATATTCTATTCCTTTTTAAGGACATATAGCACACTATGCAATTACCAATCTAGCCTTGGTCCTCTCACCAATTTAATTAAGCCATAATTCAACAAGTTTTATACTTATTTTTATAATATTTGGTTGGAAGAAATAAAATTAAGGAGAACAAAAATGAAAAATAGTTGAATGAGAAACAATATCAAACGGTAGATTAATAAAAATCAAGGAGTGGGTATGTGTGTTAAAATCAAGTTCGAAATTGAAAATTATATGAGTCGTTACATACATAAACAGACATCACTTTTAACACAAAAGCCTAAATTATTAGATTATAAATTCATTTTTATATATAATCCTCTCATTTTTTTTATTGTCGATTAATGTGAAATATTTTCCACAACTTGCATGTGCACATATCTCAACAATTTGCCTTTCACATGTGAATTTTATTCGCATTGAAAACTTTTCTTTAAAAAATCTTGAGTGCGATGGTCACAATTTGAGTACCACAATATCATTAAAAGCTCACTCTTTTTTCAAAAGCTTGCTGGTCTAGGAGCTCGCAATTACCCTCTACTCTTCATCGACAGGTTGCATCTTATCATTCCAAAGCCATTTATATCGTTCTTTATCTACTGGTCTAATTAGCTCTTTACTCTTTTATAGGAGAAGTAACCATAAGAGTCAATCCATGTTACCTTTATACTCATTCTGGACGACTGTTCTTGTTGGTTTTGAAAAAACCTGACATATTCGTTTACACCCAACCAAACCATCCGCTTTGCTACCACTCGACTTTTAACGTCACGAGTCCATATTTTTATATACATGCTAATTATTTTTTAATTTTCAACTAATATGGATATTGTTTACAACGGATGCATGTACACATCTCATGTAATTAAAAAAAAAAACTTGATGACTCTTTTTTAAGAATTGATAATTTTTTTCTGAGAATTTCAAGCAGAGGTTGGGTAGAATAAAATATTATATTGAAGTATTTTTATATTGTTAGTATTTTATTAAGAGTGCAATAATCAATATATTTTTTAAAGAGTTAGTACCACAATACACAATTATGGATATGAATTTATAATTAGGATATTGTTATTAAATTTAACTTGATTTGTTTTATTATTATTATATAAAAAAAGAGAGGCTCTAACTCAGTGTGCGGTTTTGAATGTCTTTGGTGGAACCATAAAATCATCGATTTTTGTGCTCAAGTTTTGACCGGATGTTTAAACATCCGGTCGAAGCACAACAGCCAATGACTTTTATGTTTCAACGAAGGCATCGAACAATTTCCCCTAACTCAGATGATTTCAAGCTGTAAGTTTATTAACAAATCTTACTTTTTTTTTTTTTTTTTTGGTATTTGTAAATATTTGACACTTCAATTGCCTAGGAACGATACGAACGTTACTTTAGCTTTGGAATTTGGAATAGAATTAACCAGGTCCCAAAGTACTGCAAACCATTATTATATGTATGGCAAATGTGGAATCTAAGGAGATAAGATGATAAACTACTTGGGAGAATAATTCTCCAAAAAAAAAAAAAAAAAGAGTTACTTCAGAGAATATGGTGCCAAGAAATTATAACCAAGTTCTAGCTGATACACGAGTACCAAATTGTTTTCTATGTGATAAAAGGGAAAAACATCCTAGCATAAAGCAGAAGATCTGGTTCGTATTCTTGATATCTCTTACAAATTCGGCTGTTAATTAGCTGATATTACATATTGTACAACACCCCCACTTCCTTTCTCATGACCATTAAAAAAAAAAATTGGTTTGAACATAAATAGATTTATACTGACGATTATGTATATGATACAAATCATGTTGACTTCAGTTTTTTTAATATGAGGAGGGTTATTCTCGTTGTATAGCCTAATAAGTTCATTGGTCATTCGATTTTAAAAAAAAGATTTATCTATTTATTAAGGGTTTTATAAATTTCTAAACTTTTTTTTTCTATAAAAAATCTGGTTTGGATTATAATAATACTGACTCGGAGTACCATGGAAAAATCTGACGATGACAATGATAAAGTTCAACTATCAAAAAAGTTGCACTAATAAAGGAAAAAGAGAGAAGAAAACTAAAAAAAATAGTGGCAGTGTTAATCACTTTCCATCCATGTGAGGATTGTTGAAATTGTTTATTTTTAACAGCCACAAAAAGAAGTTCCACAGAAAAGGTTGCAGTAAGCACATGCCATTGAATTTAATTCCCTACGAATATTCCTTTATTCCCGCGTTCTTAATTTGCCTCAAAGTCCAAAACCCTCGTCTAATTAATGTCGATGAATTTTATAATACTCTAAAAATAATTAATGATATATATAATTATTTAATAAATTCATATATATATATATATATATATATATATATATATATATAAAGAGAAAATTAAAAAAAAATTAATTAAACGTTGAAATCTTTTTATCATTTTTAACAGAGTCTAAATATAATTTTATAAGTCTATTTTTCTTCTTCAACTGAATTCATAAAATAATTATTATAAAATTTCTCATCCCCCTCAAAATAGTAAAATACCTGATAATCACACCCTATTTTTAAGTTTTTAACCATTCGATGGTGATATTATCAAAAAGTCATTAAATCTAACGGATATAGATGTATTAGCAGAACTTGAAACTGAAACGTCAGGATAAATGAGTTTTTTTAAAAATAAATATAAATAATAAGAACACAATCACCCCCTTTACCCGTTGATATGGGAGACCAAAATCAAAGTCATTAAATCGTAGGATTAAGGGAACATGTGCTTAGAATAATAAATAGGTCCATAGATATACAAGAAAATGACACTTCTAGGGAGACCTTCGGGGGCGAAAAAGTAAAATCATGAACTTACCACAAAAACACGAGCACATTCTTGTAATATTCCTTTGGCATCTTATATTCGAACCCAACACTGATTCTTCAAATGACACCCAACCAACCTTAGCTAGCAATAGCATCGATCCTGTTCTCTCAATATAAATACCCCTTCCTCTAGTTTCCAATGCTCCACACCACAAAAAATTTTCTTTTCTTATATCCTTCTTAAACAAACAAGAAACTCTACT